GTGTTAGGTCCCACAGCCAACAACTGTTGTTGTTGTTCAGTCGCACAGTCGAATCTGACTCTTCGCGACCCCATGGACCAGATCACGCCAGGCCTTCCTGTCTTCCGCCGTCCTCTGAAGTTGACTCAATTTCATGTTCGTTGCATCTATGACATTGTCTAACCATCTCATCCTTTGCCGTCCCCGTCTTCTTTGACCTTCAATCTTTCCCAGCATCAGCCAACAACTGAGTACATGCTTATTAGCTCTCACAAGCCCTCTGTGTGTTCATCATTGCATGAAGAGGGGAGCAGATTCGAGGACTGCCTTCATGTGATTGTCAGTTCACGAACACAGTGAGCTTCATGATTTTATTTTATTTATTTTATTTAATTCAATTTATACCCCGCCCTCCCCGCAATGCGGGCTCAGGGCGGCTTACATAGAGGCAAACGCCAATATAAAACATATTTAAAACATTTAAAAATCCCAACAGTACAAAAACATTCTTAACAAGTTATTGACTAAAGTGCTCTAGGTGTTCAACATGGTATAAGATGGCATTTTTTAACTGTTCAGCATCATCTGCTCCAGGGACTGATGTTCCCTCATCCAGGGCCAGGTAAAGATGGAGTAATGGTGATGTTAGTGGCGGCTCCTACTCATATGCCTGGTGGAAGAGCTCCGTCTTACAGGCCCTGCGGAACTGCACAAGGTCCCGCAGGGCCTGGATCTCCTCCGGGAGCTCGTTCCACCAGGTAGGAGCCACCACCAAGAACGCCCTGGCCCTGGTAGCGGCCAGCCTGGCCTCTTTGGGGCCTGGCATTGCCAGGAGATGTTGGGTCCCGGACCGAAGTGCTCGCGGGGGAACATATGAGGAAAGGCGGTCCCTTAGGTAAGCTGGACCCAGACCATGTAGGGCTTTAAAGGTAAGAACCAGCACTTTGAAACGAATCCGGTACGCTATTGGCAGCCAGTGCAGCGCTTTCAGCACAGGCTGGATGTGGTCCCTTCTAGGAAGACCCATCAACAGCCTGGCCGCAGCATTCTGCACTAGCTGCAGCTTCCGGATTTGCGACAAAGGCAGCCCCATGTAGAGAGCGTTGCAGTAGTCTAGCCTCAAGGTGACCGTCGCATGGATCACTGTGGCCAAGTCACCGCGGTCAAGGAAGGGGACCAACTGCCGCACCAGCCTCAGATGGTTAAAGGCTGATTTGGCAGTGGCTGCCACCTGGGCCTCCATAGATAACGAGGAGTCCAGGAGCACTCCCAAACTCCTAACCTCCAGCGCCGGCACCAAAGGCACCCCATCGAAGGTCGGGAGAGGGAGCCCTAACCCCAAACCACCGCGACTCAGGCCCAGGACCTCCGTCTTCGCCGGGTTTAACTTCAGCCTGCTCAGTCGGAGCCAACCAGCCACGGCCTGCAATGCCCGGTGCAGATCTTCAGGGACAGAGTCCGACCGGCCACCCAACATCAGATAGAGCTGGGTGTCATCCGCATATTGATGACACCCAAGCCCATACCTCCGGGCAATCTGGGCAAGGGGGCGCATATAGATGTTAAACAATAACGGGGAGAGAACAGCCCCCTGGGGCACCCCACACACAAGAGGGTGCCTCCGGGACTGCTGCTCCCCTATCACCACCCTAGGTGGTGTCAGCGAGCTGCCAATGTTTTGTTTTGTATTACTGTGTTCGCTTGTCTGCTTTCACTTTCGGCCGAAGCTCTGTACATGCGCATGTCTATGTAGATTGCTGAAATGTTTATATCTCCCAAGGCCACAGGTGGTTGCAAGTGCTTGTTAGTGTACCGAAGCTCCCATGAAGCGCCGTGAGAAAGAGATAACAAGAACTGCCTAGGAATGTTTGTTCTCAAGCCTAAAGGCGCGCGGGGGAAACCCCGCAATTGGGCCTCAGTAGTTTGAATGTCCTATAATATGCTTTGACACGTGAATCCCTCTCATTCTGAACAGTGACCCTGTTATGCACCTTAGCTTCAAAATAAAGTAAAACCTTTCTACAAGCGTGTACTTCATTATGATGCTGTGAGGAGTCTGACACATGAGGATGAAGTGTACATGCATATGCTCCATATGTTGCTGATCACAGGGATGGAAAGCACATGTGTACATTTCCTCTGTGTATAGGCAGCATACTCACAACCCACACAGGGGAGTGGGGATAGCATACTTGAACCTGCTCCCCTCTCAATGTGTCAACTGAATGTGTGTAGGGGTTATATGCAGAGGGCTGCAGTTTTCTAGTGTTGACTACTAACCATTGCTAGGAAATGACAGGTCTTGCTATGCAAAATGATAGTATATGTTTTTCTATGAAAACAGGAGTTGCAAAATCTTAAAGGCAAGGCTGCTAGTAACATCCCTAAACAGTATATCACTCACAAATTCCTCCCTTTCCTAGCATATTGAATTTTTCATCAATATTCACTGCCTGGATCTGTTTGTTGTTGTTGTTGTTGTTTCTCATTAACCCCTCCAGTATTAAATGGAGCATCAACCTGAAAAGACTGATTAATTATGCCAAATATTTGAATATATTGTACAAATTACTACTATATAGTCTGACATTCCTAGCCATTGGATTTTAGCAATTTTCTGTTACCATTGTCCTTCCCTATGTGTGATTTTATACTAGAGCTGCAATGGAATGCTAGTAATTACACTGCTTCTGGCATATTTCAGCACAAGTGGCTGAATCTATATTTATACCAAGACTTAAATATCATCTGTCAATAAAACTCAGTATTGGAATGTGCAAGATTATTATTTTCTTGAAAGAAGTGTAGCACATTACAAAATTGACCTCATATTCAATTGCTTATGATATTGCAGATACGCTACAGAGAATTCATAACACTTTTACAGAAGGACTGATAGACTTTTCTCATCTCTTCTTCCATCCAATGTAATTACTCTATACCTTTTGATGTAACACTTGAGGGAATGTAAAGCATAGATTGTCAACATGGTTGAACTCCCCACCTTTTCTTTCCTCTTCTGTTAAGCAGACTGTGCACATAGAACTCATTCCTTTTGACCAAGCAATTGTAGTTTATTTTGATAATTTTGAATGCCATCAGGCATAAATCACCTTCTCCACAGTCAAGTGTTAAATATCAGCTGGTATGGTGTCTAGGGTGGCCCTTAAGATTATGTCTTAAGGAACATGTCTTTGCCTTGTTAAATATTTGGTCTGAAAATCTATTAAAAATACATTCTCTGCAACCTACAGGGGCCTTTCATTACTTGTGGAGCTGAGGCTCAATGTCTCCAGCTGCTCCGCCACCTTCCCTTCCCTTAGTTTGCTCGGAGAGTCCGAGCAAGCCGGCTGCTGGAGGGAAGGAGAGGCGGTTTAAACCACCTTCCCTTGGCTTGCTCAGGATCCCCACGGCTGCAGAGAGCCTGAGCAAGCCGGCTGCTGGAGGGATGTGCATTCCGAAAATGGCCCATTCGGGTCCCTTTCAGGCTGCTGTGGGTCGAATCAGATTCTCTGATCTGAATTGGCTTCCTGCAGTTCTGCCCCATTATATCCTAAGGGCCATTTAAGTCAATGGCAAAAACATAGGGTATATTCTGGGGGCTGGAGGGAAGGGGGTTTGAGGGAAAAGATCCAAAATCGCAGGGTAGTTGCTGGAGCCTCTCCCCAAGATACCCTCCATGTTTCAAGAACATTGAACAAGGGGGCCCAATTCTACGGGCCCCCAAACAGGTTGCCCCCATCCCCTCCATTGTTCTCTATGGTGGGGGGGAAGTTACACGGGAGAGGTGGAATTTGCCCCTACGAGTCCAAGGCCATCACCACGGGGCTCAGGGAGGCAAGGGAACGTTTCACCCTGCCCCCCGGGCGCGGGCATTGCAGCTGCCGCCAAGAACAGAGACAGCGGCTATAACTTTTTAAAGAGCCCCTCCCGAGAGCTGTGCCGCTCGGACATCACACTCCAGAGGTGGAATTTGCCCCTACGAGTCCAATGCCACCACCCCGGGGCTCAGGGAGGCAAGGGAACGTTTCGC